CTTTCTTCTCTGCTGCGGCCTCTGCGCCTCAGCGCCCCACCCCCGCCTTTGTTCCACCGCAGCCCCCTGGGGAGACCCTTATCTTGAGGATTCGACTCCGGAGAGGAGTCCTCCCCACTCCCGGCCTCAGCATCCTGGACGGGGGATCACCCCATGGGCGCGCCCCATCTGTGCTCTCCCGGTGGCCCGGGTGCGCAGAGAGAGATTCGGGGCGCCCCGCCTCGCGGGCCGCGCTCTGACGCGGGGACGTCCCCAGGGCCCCCCACTCGGGTGGCTTTTGCTCCCTGGAGCCAGTGGAGCTCTTTGGGACGCGCTCCGCGTCTGGAAAGGTAGACTTCTCCAGGTAATCGCTTGTCGCTCAGCCCTATCATTCGGCCGGCCTGCTAGAACTTCCGAAAGGAGAAATTTAGGGAAAAGTTGACATGCTCTGGTGTCCTGGCATTTTCTTTTCTCTGGCTGGCTGTGTGAGTGAGAAAATTGTTGTAGGAGTTATTTCGCCACTTGCATCATTGATGGTAATTACAGATTAGTGTAGTTAAAATGCTCAGAAAATATCAGGAGGAGGAAACTTCGAAATCAGGGTGATAAATTAGAAAGTATTGTACCAACTATGCCTTTTAGAGTTTGCGATTAAAGAAATACTTTGACAAATGTAAACCATAGGGGACATTGGGTGAGGGATATTTCTCTATTTTCTTTGCAACTTTTCTGTAAATATAAAATTGCTCCAAAATAAAAAAATTTAATAAAAAAAAGTAAATCGCACCAAACCAATCAGTATATTTCAGATCAATAAATCCAGGGCGCATGGTCCCCCTCCCAATTTTATAATTATTTACTAAGGATCGTTTTGTTTAAGTGCTCTCTTTCTGGATAAGAATGTTAGGTATTATGTATGGAATATCTTATGTGGAATTATCTTGTGATATGCAGTTAAGTTATCGCTTGAAATGTATTTCAGAAGTCTGGGAGAGATTGATGAAGGGTTTCAGACTTCCTGCAGGCAGTGAAGAGCCTTTAGGGACTAACAACAGCCTGACTGTCATATGAGGAAGTAGACTCAAGAAGGGCAGCTGGTTTCGTGTTTATTTCTTGACTTATAGTTTAGATAAGACAAATTTCCAAAGCTAAAATTTTGGCCTTCGGTACACTTTGGAAATGTAAGACACCTTCAGGGTGATCACAAACAAAACCATTTGCAAAAAATATTTTATTTACTTTCTGTTGCTTGTACAAATTTAGGATGGGGGTGGGAGAAGACGGGAAGCTGAAGAACTAGCATTACGGGAATTGAATGAGCCAAGTGCTGTCCTAATCTTCTGGAAGTAGCTATTACACTATTAATAATAGCTTAGCAGTACATCATTAATCACCCCAAGGTACCACTGGTTCTGTAGCTGTTATATTCTGCTCCTGATGGTGCAGAGAATGCCCCTTGGTATATTTCTTTATTTTATTTTTAATTTGAGATTTGTATAAACAGTCTTCATTTTTAAACAAACTGTCTGCTTTGAACACCCCATTGAGTTTGTTTTGTGTTAAAATAGTACACCCCCTTAAGACTTCTTTTCCTACCTAGTATAAGCTCCTAGGACTTTATACCTAGACATGAGTAAAACTATTGGCTTTGTAATAAGATGATTTTGACTGAGGATAAAGTAAATTCTTGGGCTCCCTCCCCTTTCTTTTGCAAAGATGTTCTCCTTTTTCTAAATCTGTATCTCTTTTTAAAAGGCCTAGGTAACTGACAAACCCTAACCTTTTTTGATTACTTGAAAAGATAATCAGTCTTTCTACATTCACTTTTAGATTAGGTAGGTCACCTTTAGGCCATTTACATATTTCATTTGTGTGTTGCAATGAGAACTGATCCCTAAATTTACTCATTAGAATAGTGATAATTCAGAGTAGTTCTGAACATTTAAATTTTCTTTCGTAAAAAAAAAAAAATTGCTTCATTTTGCTGGACTTCATGTTTCACTTTTTCTCTTTATTGACTTATTAAGTAGTCCCAACTGAACACTTGTTAAGACTGTTTACATTTCAAGTTTTTGGAATCAGTAGTGTTTGCTTTAATCTTTTAAATTAAATCTTCTATAAGACTTTACTAAGATCTCCGTTGATTTTCTGGATTTTTCCCACCAAACTAGAGTGTTAAAATGAAACAGTTCTTGCCTGGTGTGGAAAACTAATAAAGATTTTTAAAAATAGATTTCCCCGCCTATTTTCTTAAAAATCTTTTTGTTCAGTGGCTTCATTTATTGTTGTAGATTCTTAAGTGTTTATCTCTAAGATAAACAGTTAGCCAGAAAATTATGCCTCCTTATTGATTTACAGTCCCCGTTGGCCACATTCCATGCTCAATCTGCTGGTAATCAGTAGACTGTTCTTTCTCATATACCCCCAAGGATTAAATGAAGTATCCCTTTTTCTTTCTGTCCCCTTCTACTCTCCCCCTTGTTTGTAGGTAGGAAAGTTTTTAAGGCATGGCATCAGCGGGAGGAAGAGGGAAATAATGTGTAGCAGCATGATGATTAAACCGTATATACTCTCTAAGAGGTACAGTCCTGATTGCATACAGTCACTCGTCGCTTAATGATGGGGACACGTTCTGAGAAATGTGTCGTTAGGCGATTTTGTCATTGTGTGAACATCAGAGAGTGTACTTACACAAAGCTAGATGATACAGACTGCTACACACTTAGGATGTATGGTAGTAATCTTATGGGACCACTCGTATGTGCCGTCCGTCATTGACTGAAATCTCATTATGTGGCGCATGACTGTATGTCTGAAGAGAATGAATGTTCTGTTTTGCCTTACTTTGTCCTTCTGTTTGTTTATGTAAAGTATATGAGTAGCCTGGCATTTTCTTGGAGTGTTGTTTTTTTTTTTTTTTTTGTCAAATAGTGTATCCTGGTGTAGGATATGTGTAGGTTCTATAGGTAGGAACCTATTCCACGTGTAGGTTAACTGCAGGCTCCCTGGCTGCCTGAATACCTTATATCTTACTGGGTGACCCATTGGCCTGCATTTAAGTGGGTCGTCTTCTGCTCTTGTCTTAATTTGCTATACTAGGGTCATTGATGAAACAATGGACTATTTTATTGGAACATCAAGGAACTGGTCGTTTGGTTCTTTAAAAATTAGCTTTTGATGCCTTGCAGTAGAAGAGTATGTTTTTATGTATATGTTTTATATATGTGTTTTTAACTTCTCTGAAGCAAACGGCCAGTGTTGGTTCTTCAGAATGAAGCACTGTATCCACAGCGGCGCTCCTATACTAGTGAGGATGAAGCATGGAAATCTTTCCTGGAAAACCCTCTCACTGCAGCAACCAAGGCGATGATGAGCATCAATGGAGATGAAGACAGTGCGGCTGCACTGGGCTTGCTCTATGACTATTACAAGGTAGGTTTGCCTGCTCTTTAAAAACCCTTAACAGCAGGCCAAGATGCACTTGATTCAACAGCATATAAAACAGTAATTTGCTGGTAGAGTGTCATGCAAGTTGCTTTTGTAGGGACTGTAAATAGTTTAATGATTACTTTGACTTAGTGTGGTTCAAAGCTGAAAATCTACGATCATAGAATCAAAGGGTTGTTTTTAAAACGTGTGAAGTAGCCAGCTGTACTGGCTCTATCTGAAAGGAGAAGCTACCATGAAAGCAGATGGTCCATGTGTCTTATTGAGACTGAACACTTTAGCAGAGGTGGTTCTCAGTGCCGTCAAGGGTAGACAGTGGTTCGTTTACCTGGGCTCTAACCTTTACTCCTGTGTAGTCAGTGAGTTCCTTTTCCCTAAATGATAGTACAGAGCCTTTGATTTGATTGTAGGATTCATGAAAAAAACCCTCGTATTTTCTAGTCTTGAACTTCCTAGTTCTAAGATCAGGATATATTTTGTTGCCTGTTTCTAGAGATTTGGATTAGTCTTAATTGAATATAATCTGTCCTCTGCCTGGAGTTTTACATGGTGTTCGTATCTGGAGATGACACCACCGATCTGTGTCATCATCATTGTCTTACTAATACTAGCTACCACTTACTGATTACCTGTGTTATGCTAGACGTGTTGCCAGTGTGTATGTTATTTCTGATCCCTTTAGAAACCCTGCAAAATACATGGTATTATCCAAGTTTTGCAGAAGAGAAAAATAAAGTTCTCAGGTCACACAAGTATTGTGTGTTGCGCCCGGGATCTCAGGCCTGGTCTGGTTGGTCCAGGGTCACCCTCTTCAGCAGCCGCACTAGCGAGTGTCTCCTGGGGTGCACTTTGCTCAGTCGACTAACTTTGGCATTCTTCTTTCTGACCAATAGCGGATATGTGGGGATGGCTCTCTATGACAGTTTATTTTTGCCATCTTTTTGTTTTTAAAACTTCCAAACCTATAGAAAACTTAAAGTAACAGGATAGTTAACTCCCAAATACTTTCACCTACATTCACCAAGTGCCTGCCTTTTGTTGTACTCTGGCACTGTATTCTTTCCTGAATACAAGAAATACAGAGGGAAAAAAGCAAATAAGATGGTTTGATTATCAAAATTAGGGTGGGACCTAAACAAAAGATTTAATTATTTTCTGGTATGAGGCCATATGTCCAGCTTATTATGTTTGCTGGACTGAGGTAAGTTTTTTTCTTTGAATATGAACGGAAACTTGTATAGTGACTAATGCTGCTAGGAGAAACCCTTGCCTGGGAAGTGTACCATGAAGGGTTCCTTTGAAGTGGAACTTATATCTGCTCTTCTTATAGTTTTTTATGGACTCCATCAGTGTAAAAACCGTAAGTTCCTAAGTACTAATTATGAAGTTTGAAGTTACATATTTTTAACTGAAACTTTTGAGAGTGGGAGAAAACTAACAAATTTAGTGCCAGAAAGACTGATGTATTAACACTAATTGCAGTGGTTGTGTGCGTGTGTGTCCTAGAAGTATTTCACATCTTAGGAGGAGAGAATCTTCTTGTCTGTCCATGAACGGTGGCAGTCTTAGTATTGCTGCATGTCAGGCTTCTTGTGATAGGTGTAGGGTTATTTTGTTTTTTAAATGAACTGACTTATTCCAGTTCTTTGGATATAACCATCAGTCATTTTTACATAATAACTTTGGTAAAGCTTTAAAAGGACTTTGTTAATACATGAAATAATAATTTATTTTGTCTGTAAGGGTAAAACAAGAATGTAGGAATAGAATTCCTGCATTCACATTGAAAACCAGTTTCAAACGTCTCAGCAGTTTTGGAGTACATGTTGGGAATAAGTCTCAGTTGAGTTGATGTCTACAGTACAGCCAGTCGTGTTTGCCTGCTTTCATCTCCTTTGCAAAGAAGAGCAGAGTCAAAAAAGGAGTAGAACAAACATTTTGTCGTTTGGGTAATGGACAGTGTGAATCCCAAAGTACGTAAAGAAATTTATCCTACGAAGCCAGCCTTTGGATCTTGGGAGTGAACTGTTGGCATGGCTGACGCTTTTGATTTTGCCTTTGATCTGAAAGGAAGGGTAGCAAAGAAGAGCAGTGAGGAGGTTGAAAGAGCCCAGCTGTGTTTTCAGTAGCTTCTTCTCTATTACATTATGGAGATAAATGGGTAAAACCAGGCCAGAGGTGTTTCTTTCTTTCTTTTTTTTAAGAGATGAAACCCAAACTCAATGACAAAGTAATTTTGTGATACCGTGAGTTTATTTGGGAACTAATAGTTGTTTTTACATATCAACCCGGTGCCCAGATCGTAAGCACGTGAGGGCAGACACTTTCTTATTCGTCGTGTATCCCCAGAACCTGGTGTTTGGTCGGCAAGCGATAGATATACAGACGGTTGAACTTAGTGAACAATACAAGGCTGTATCTGTGTTTCGCTGAGTAAGCACTAAATCCTTGTCCTGTGTGTTAATACCTAAGGTTCCGAGAGAGAGAAGGTCGTCAACAGCAAAGCCGGATGTCGAGCACCCAGAGCCAGATCACAGCAAAAGGTAATGTTGAATATACAGCGTAAAGTAGACACTTGAAAGACGCCACATTTCTGTGAAAATAAAACCCGAGTTTGTTTAAATGAACCAGCACTAGTGGAAGACATAGGTAAGTTGGACTCTTAATATCTATATGCAGATTTCATTCCTGATTTGCCTCTTAATGTTACAATTCTATTGCTCTGAGAAGTTACCAGTTTTTTTAGACATAGTTGCATTTTCTAGAAGACAAAAGCATTAAGTTTCTTCTCCTCCAAAGGGATGTTTTAGTAATAATGTAAGTGAAGTGTTTGCTTATTTGTCTTTGAGGTTCTCTTAAGAAGGGTGTGGCTGCGCCGGCCCCGTGGCTTAGCACCTAAGTGCGCACGCTCTGCTGCTGGCGGCCCAGGTTCGGATCCCGGGCCCGCACCAACGCACCACCTGCCCGGCCATGCTGAGGCCGAGTCCCACATACAGCAACTAGAAGGATGTGCAACTATGACATACAACTGTCTACTGGGGCTTTGGGGGAAAAAAAGGAGGAGGATTGGCAATAGATGTTAGCTGAGAGCCGGTCTTCCTCAGCAAAAAGAGGAGGATTAGCATGGATATTAGCTCAGGGCTGATCTTCCTCACAAAAAAAAAAAGAAGGATGTGGCTTAAGGCGATGGTAGGGGTCCATTAAAAAAATTAAGTACCAATGATCTTGAATAGCTGTGTAAGTAAAACTTAGTAAAGTACATTCAACTGTATTCCAAACTCCTGTTGAAGTTATTTTTGAAATATTTTAAGTTAAAACTTTTAGAAAATTAAATTAAGGCTTGACTTTATAGCCATAATTTTTAAATATACCTTTTAAATTGCCTTGTGTTCTATTAGTAATAAACAAATAAAACATTTTTAAAGAAAGAATGATCACTCAGAATCCCACTATCCTGACGATTCTTTATTTACTGTTTGGGTGTGCTTGAACATTTTATGTGGTTGTTGCTGTTTTCACGGTAGGATTTGGTGATACGTTTTCTTCTACTTAGTATGTTTTCATAAATATTTTCCATGTTGCTCTTTTAGTCTTCATAATTACCCTTTGGAGAAGGGTTTATGGCTTTTATTTTTTACATTTTATTACGGGCAATTTTCAAACATAACGAAAGTAGAGAAATAATGTAAACCCACATGTATCATTACCAGCTTCAACGGTTACCAACATAATCTGTCCTATTTGATCTACTCTTCCCTGTTCTCCAACTTTTAAATTAATTAATTTTTTATTTTATTTATTTTGGCTGGAGAATTTTAAAGCAAAGCCTAGCTATCCTTCACATTAAGGCTGCATCTAATTTTTTACTATTACAAAGCCTGAATTGAATGAACAAGTTCTAGATAGCTTTTTCCTTTTTCTCTTTCTTTAGGATAAATTCCTGGGAGTGAATTTGTGGTTCAAGGTTCGAACATTTTATTGATCTTGAAATGTACAAAATTGCCAAACTGCTTTTTTGTTTAAAGGTATCAGCCTATATGATTTGAGGGGCTTTGAAAATTCTTTAATTTTACCCTAGACTAGAAATCATCTTACATTGCCCAGGATATTTATTAAAGCAAAAGTAATTTTATGTAAATATATCTACTGCTACATTGTAATAATAGGTTTTCTTTTGGTGAAAAAGAAAGACACATAAGCATAAGTACTAGGAAAAGTGGTGGCCAAGTAGTAATAGCCCATACTTCTTGAACCCTCGTGTGCCAGGCGTTGTTACACACATTTCAGTGTATCAGCCCATTTCGTCCTCATCACAACCTTGTGAGGATGGGTGCCATTATTATCCCCATTTTATAGAAGAGCACGTAGTTACTAAGAGATGAAGTAACCAGCTGAAGGTCACACAGAACTTGAACCTGGGCAGTCTGACTGTAGAGTCTGTGCTTGAACCACCATCCTGTACTGTGCCGACAATCACGTTTGTAGCTTCAGACACCTGGTAAAATATGATAATTTTGTTAGGCTTATTGAAAATAAAGTGTCGCAGAGGAGAGCTCTGAGTTCTCAGTATTTCAAATGAAGTTGTACTTAATACTTTTGTATTGTACTTGACCTATAACTATGAAGTCTTTTTTCTTTCTCGAGTAATTGTTGTCATGCCATTTTCTATTTATTTGGTTTCTACTAGGTGATATTATTATTATTATTGCACAAGACTCAACAGCCAATGCCATTAGGGAAATAAAAATTGTCAAAGAACTGTATCAGCATTGAGTTTGAAAACACAGTTTTGTTTTCTTTTCTTAAAGAAACAGCATACCAAATGTGACTGAGCAGTCCCTCCTTTCTGCTGGAGAAAACAGAGTGCAAGTACTGAAAAATGTGCCATTTAACATCGTCCTTCCCCATGGCAACCAACTGGGCATTGATAAGAGAGGCCATCTCGCAGCCCCTGACACAACAGTCACAGTCTCCATAGCAACGATGCCTACCCACTCCATCAAGACGGAAACCCAGCCCCACAGCTTTGCCGTGGGAATCCCCCCAGCAGTGTATCATCCTGAGCCCACTGAGCGGGTGGTGGTTTTCGACCGGAACCTTAATACTGACCAGTTCAGCTCTGGTGCTCAACCCCCAAATGCTCAAAGGCGAACTCCAGACTCTACCTTCTCAGAGACCTTCAAGGAAGGCGTTCAGGAGGTATAGGAAACGAAAGCATCTTCCTGGGACCGCTGTGTGTTTGTATAAGTATTGAGTTCCACCTCTTCCTTGTTATGTAAGCTTGAAACTCAGCCTGAAATGAATGGATTAGGAACAAAACATTTTTTTTTAAGAGAAGAGGCCCATGGATATAATTTGTAAACTAACGCTATAAAACCAGAAGTTATTATCAAGGGCACATGGCTAATCTTACCAGCAGCTGAGTTAACGATTATGCTTTCAGCTAAGTGATTTGCTGGAGAAAGAGAAAGAGAACCCCAAACATAATCTTCTGTCGACAACAGATATATCCACATAGTCTGTTTTTGGCTTTCGTCCTAGACCAAAACAAGCTCCTTGCAACTGATCTTAATATAAAATGATTTATCGTGTGTTTGCTTGGTGTTTCTTGTTTGGTAGTATCATCAGGGAGGCAGGTAGGATCTTGATGACAGATGCATTGTGTGAAATTTACAAATCAACTCCAAATACCTCTGAGGGTTTTGTAGTGATGGACACCTCCCTCAGGTAAAGGTTAGGGACCGAAGATGTTTGAAACCGTGTTTAACGACTCGTGGGGGAAAGGAGCACCTATCTCAGTTTATAGTAACCTTTCCTGAGAAAATGCAGCAATCCATCCAGCCATGGTGGAAACTTGATACTGTGTCTTCATTTGGTACAGCGATAGGGCTGACTCCTAAAAGTCTTAAGATTTTGGTTACAGATTCTGGAGTTTTAACGGAACTGAGATGTGTGGAAAAGATGGGAAAGGGGAATATTGAAGCACTTTTTGGGAGTACCTACGTAGATGCTCTTAATTTAATGGAGTGGCATATAAAATGGATTTTTTTCTTTTTAGTTTTCTTTTCCTTTTTAAATTTTTCATGGAGTTTAAATTTTTATTTTAAAATGAATATTGAAAGAGTAGTGGGTTGCTGTAAGCCACAGACTTTTATGCTGTACCAGACGTTGGTCTTTAGTAAGCCTGATAACCAGTTAAATAGTTGTGGCTTATTACGTTGATATTTCAGGTTTTCTTCCCCTCGGATCTCAGTCTGCGGATGCCTGGCATGAATTCAGAGGACTATGTTTTTGACAGTGTTTCTGGGTAATAGTTGTCTTTTAATTTGATTTTTAACTTTTAGCTTTTATGACATATTTCTTTTTTGTTAATTTGATACTGAAAAATCAGAGGTGGCTTTAGCGGGCTCGCACTTGTATCTGACTACAGTCACTGTGGTGATAATGCTTCGCTAGAGGACATGTGCTTCAGTGCATTCGGTTTTGAACTCTGAACTGCGTTTCATGTCTCCTTAATTCTTGGTGTTGGTGCTTCTTCTTTCCTTTGGTTTCTTTATGTGACGGTAGCATGGAATCTAAAAGAAGAGGGGAGGGGATTAAGTTAAATCTCTGAGGTCCCTTCTGTTTCCAAAAGTGTATAATTCTATGAGAATTTGGGAATAACATCAGGTGGATAAAGGCTTTTATTTTTTGATTAGCCTCGCTAATGATAAAATAAATGAAGTCAACTTTTTCCTGATCTGACAGCCTCTTCTTTTAAACTTCACAAAATTATTTCTCACACTGGGGATATGAAGATTTTCCTAGTTATTTATGGACATATATAAACACCTTCAGATTTTTTAAAAAGAGTCTAAGATTTCATTTTATAATTTTGTTTTATGCATTTTTACTGTGTTATATTTTGAAATAAAGTTTTATTTAAAAGTCTAGGATTTTATGGGAATTGAGACTTCCCTTAAAGACCTGCCTCAAGGTGCAGAAGTCACAAACTCAGATGCCTTTAGGGTTTAGGATAGAGGTCGGCAAACCTTTTCTGTAAAGGATCAGATAGTAAATGTTTTAGGCTTTGTGGGCCATACAGGCTCTGTTGCAACTGCCCAGCTCTGCCGCTGTAGCACAAAAGCAGCCAGAGCGAATACGCAAACAAAGGGCGTGGCTGTATTCCAATAAAACTTTATTTACAACAATAGGTGTAATTTGCTGGCCCCTGGCTTAGGAAGGTTATTAAACAACTTTAGGGGGATGTATGTGTGATACTGTAAGGGAATAGGAAATGTAACGAGTTCTGAAGTGGCCCTCTGAAGACATTTAAATTACAAGCAAAAACAACAAACAAGTGCTGTGCTTAACAAATCGAATTTAATCAGAGCACCACCAGCCACGTGTTTGCAGCCTTTGCTGGGGAAATACCTGAGTGGCAGCATGTCTTGTGAGATTTTCTTCCAAAGTCCTTTTCAGTTATTAGTATCTTTAATATCCTTAGCCTCCAAACTTCTAATTGTTAACATTACTTCATAGAATTTCTAGTAGGCATTTTGTAGTCCCACATCTGAGAGATTTGAGAATTTCTGGGTTAAGATTATATTTATCATGGAAAACGTAGTAAGTGCTGTTTATAATATGACATAGTCAGTTGGTACAATGGAAGCGTTTCAGGATTGAGCTAAATCCTATAGGAAGCTTCCAAGAGAGTGGATTAGAGATCTGTGACTCTCTTTGTTCTTTAGGAACAACTTTGAATATACCCTAGAAGCCTCAAAATCGCTTCGACAGAAGCCGGGAGACAACACTATGACCTACCTGAACAAAGGCCAGTTCTATCCTGTCACCTTGAAGGAAGTGAGCAGCAGTGAGGGAATCCATCACCCCATCAGCAGAGTTCGGGTACGTCCTGCTCTTAGTTCTGTTCTCTAGGAAAGCTAGTCAGAGCTTAATATTTCCAGGTCTGAAGCAGATCTAAACGAAGAGCTGAAATTGCAGTTTCAAGCCTTAACTGTAAAATCTAACACTTTTTTGCAAAAGATACTCACCCCTAACGTCTTTATGTCGTGGTGTGTTTGCTTTCGTAGAGTGTGATCATGGTGGTTTTTGCTGAAGACAAAAGCAGAGAAGACCAGTTGAGGCATTGGAAATACTGGCACTCGCGGCAGCACACTGCTAAACAAAGATGCATTGACATCGGTAAGCAGCTCCGGAGCCTGCCTTCACTCCCAGAGGCGCAAGCGTCCAGTTTTCTAAATCCAGTTGTTTTTGGCAGTGATCAGCTTCCTGCCGAAAGCGTTCGAATTCTTATGCCAGCTACTGATCTGTCCCAAACGCTGTCCTTGGCCTCCAGGAATCAGTGCTCTTGACATTACTCCCTTCACAGGGACATGTGCCCCATGCAGTGGCTTTCCCTGTGACACTGGGGCCAGAAGCTGGATAGCCAGCTCACATAAGAGTGTCCCGCTCTCTGGTTTGCAAATGTTTTGAGATGTAGTAAGTATCTTCTTTAAGAGATTCTGATTATTTGGAGATGATAATAAGACAGAGAAAAAAAACAAATCAAGTAAAAGAAAGTACTGCTGATGTGCAGTTACCTAACAGTCTTCCCCAGTTACATGCTGAACTGCATTGCTAGGCTCCTCTGTCTGTACACAGACCCAGAGATTCATCACTACAGTATAGCAGCAGACCTGTGCAAATCTGCAGTTAGTGAAGTAGCTTTATGAAAACCTCTGTTCTTGCAGTGTATGTCATTTTCGTGTAAAACCATTATCTGTATCACAAGATGGCTCTTAATCTTAGTGTTACTTCTTTTCTTTGTCTTTTGTAATGTTCACATTCTCTTTTCAGATTAAAAGAACTGAGTTCTAATCTTGGTTCTCTGGACTAGTTTTGTGACCTTAGGACAGTTATTTAAACTTTTTAGACCTAAGTATCCTAATTTGACATAATGGGATAAAATTAAATATACCTAAGCTTGCCTCTATTATGAAAATTCTTTTTCTTCATTTTTGAACTTCTTTCAACCCAACAAAATGTTACTTTAAGTTATCCAGAGGTGATAATATGAAAAACTGAATCTTACTTTGCACTACTGTAATGTCATGTTGGAACTAGAAATCACTAATTGCTTTTATCTTTTTCATCACTCATATAGCTGACTATAAAGAAAGCTTCAATACCATCAGTAACATTGAGGAGATTGCTTATAATGCCATTTCTTTCACTTGGGACATTAATGATGAAGCAAAGGTAGGTAATGAAGTTTAGAGACTCCTATATTGCCAGCTGTTTGAGGAGAAGTGGGAGAAACTTAATGATTTGACAGTTGATTTTTTTTTACCATTTTGCATGTTTTCATTCCTTTGGTAAAGAATAAGGAGGATAAACTTGGCTAAGAAGATAGATTATACCCATATGTCATAAAGTACATGGAAACAGGGCAAGACTTTGGGAGAAGTGGCTGTAATCTCATCAGCTCTGTCTTTTCTTCCTGTTTATCAGAGCCAGCTGGATTCTTTACTTTCTCTCTTTTCATTATTTCACATTTTCTGAAAGTACAGCTTCTTCTCAGATGTTATAAAACTGTCGTTCTGGGGGCTGGCCCCATGACGTAGTGGTCAAGTGTGTACACTCCGCTGCTGGCAGCCCGGGTTCAGATCCTAGGCACACACCGATGCACCACTTGTCAGGCCATGCTGTGGCGGTGTCCCATATAAAGTGGAGGAAGATGGGCACGGATGTTAGCCCAGAGCCAGTCTTCCTCAGCAAAATGAGGAGGATTGGCGTGGATGTTCGCTCAGGGCTGATCTTCCTCACAAAAAAAAACAAAAAAAAAACCTGTCCTTCTCCCCTTCTCACCTTCTCTTTCCTCCAGAAAGACAGCTGTTATTGAAGCACTTCTACACGCGTAGTGCCTGTGAGCCAGCGGAGGGGGCCAGAAGCTGTGGGTGGGAGCCTGCCTCTGCCCACTGTTTGCCCTCGAGTGTGATTCCTCAGTCACTGTGCTTCATTTCCTCCTTTGCAAGGTGTAGTTAGTCCCTCTCTCCTCCCTCAGGCAGGCATGTTGTAAGGATTATTGAAACAATGCCTGTGAAGCTGTTGGAGTTCCTTCAGAAAGGCTCTTAGATACAACTTATCCTTAGCGACACGCTGCTTCATATTGTCACCCTGTGACTAAAGCTCGTTTAAGATGCTTCTTTCTGGGCTTTTACAAGTGAAAAACTGCTTCCAATTCAGATGGCCATTTGGGTAATTCTTACTGGAGTTTTTAGTACCTTTTAGGAAAAATTAAGCATACTCTTGAGTCATGTGCCCTTCCCACAGTATTCTTCCCTTTTAGTATAATCCTTCTCTTCACCAAATTATTAGAGTTCTGGTATTTATTTTTTTCTTTGGATTAGTTTAAAAATTGAGAGCTCAGGAGACACAATAGAAACATACTAATTTTGGGGCAAGTGTTAAAATAAGAGGGATCTTTTGTGTTTGTTGTAATATTAGGAATACTTTTCTCTATCGAGGACCAAATACATAGGGATGATCACTTTCCTGTCCTTTTTGACCTCACTTTTTTATTTAGTCAACAAGAGTTTAGCCATTATGAAATAAGACACTGCATTAGGTGTAAGTATTACAGAATTTCATTTTTTACTGCCTAGGATCGCTTTTTTTTTTGGTGAGGAGGATCAGCCCTGAGCTAACATCCATGCCAATCCTCCTCCTTTTTTTTTTTTTCCCCCTTTTTCTCCTCAAAGCCCCAGTAGATAGTTGTATGTCATAGTTGCACATCCTTCTAGTTGCCATATGTGGGACGCCGCCTCAGCATGGCCGGACAAACAGTGCGTCAGTGCACGCCCGGGATCCGAACTCGGGCCTGCAGTAGCAGAGCGCGCGCACTTAACCGCTAAGCCACGGGGCCAGCCCCATAGGATCGCTTTTAAAAATCATGACTGTATTCTTGAGAACCATGTTAAGTTTGTATTATAGTTTCTTTCCTTTCCTCTTGTGGTCATCGTGTCTAAGGCAGAAGTGTGTCTGTAAGACTGCAGGGTAAGAGCAGGTTGGGTCTGCCAGTCTGGCAGAAGCTTAAGTTAGTGTAATTGTGTTGAGGTTGTCCTGCCGACCACCTGGATCCTGTACAAATGTCCTGAGGCTGCTTAGTCCAGAGTTTGGTGCTTGATTAAACAAGGAATTCACTACAGAGGAGCTACTAGAAGATGTTTACTTTTCATTTTATACAATTGTTGTTACAGTTATTTTGAAATTAAATATCATAATAGGACTCCATGTGCTGGCTACTAACAGCAGCCTATAAGAAGAGCTCGCCCTGTGCCCTCCAGGTGCTTCTGTTCTTAAAGCAAACTTGAGAAATGCTTCCTATTCGCTGTGAGGGACTAACTGGGAAATTGTGGAGGAGGTGATTAGGAGCGTCTGAGTCCTGAGTTCATTTTTCTGACTTACCTGTGACCTTTGATTAGTCCCGTGGTTCACTAGCTCAGTTTCACCCCCTTTTCCCCCTAGGAAAATAGAAAGGCTCTAGTGGCCAACTCTCTTCTTTGTTGACGTGTCTTCAGGATTAATAAACACTTGTCAGAGTGCGTGGAGATCTGGGTGGAAAGGCCCTGCGTATGGGCTGGGTTCTTTGTTTGTTCAATGTGTCACTCTGTAGGGTGGGATCAATGAAAGCCAAGATGATGGTAGGGATAATGGCTGGTTTTATTCTGAAGGCCTTCAGCATATTTCTGTTAAAGAGAACTATTATTGGAGGCATGTCCCAAGTAGCCTTAATAGCATTGTTAATTGATGTAGGTAAATTTAGTTTCATTTCCCCTTCCAGACCCCCAGCGTGGACTAGATTTTTAAGCCTGTGTCTGCTACCAGATCAGGTTGTGCCATTTCTTAATGAGGCTGCTCCCTTTTGAAGCTGATACCAGGCATCAACTTCAAACATGTGTTGGAATTAAGTATCTGGATATTTTGCTTTCCCTGGCCAAGTTGATGTTTTCTGTTTTTATACTTAAAGTAATTGATACCCCAGGGCAGCTGGAGTGAACAAATGTACATGCAGAATCCTGTGTAGATTTTTTTTTTTTTTACTTCTTTTTCCAAAAGTATTCACCTTTTTTGCCCACCTTCTTGTTCTAATTTAGGATACATTTGTTGATTCTTAATTCCGGTTCATTCTCACCCCCCAAACAAAAGGGTTTATCGGAGATATGTGTCATTCCCTTCTCCCCCACCACACTTTTTTTTTTTTTAAGATATCTAGTATGCCGTTTTGGCCTTGCCAGGGTGAATAAAACCAGAATTCTGGCCCGTTGTCAACGTATGAATCTTCCCTGTAGCTTCTGCTGCTCACTTTCGGGGTAACTGTATTTTCAGGACATCCTGGCTTGAATCTTGAATACCTTGGCTTATGTTCCAGGTTGGGAAGAACACTGTCCAAGCCAGACTCATCTCATACTGTCCCTGTACACACTCCATTCATCAGCATCATCATATACCCATGGAAACTTGAAGAAGTTATGTAACTTGTAAAAAAGCATTAATTTTCAAAGTATCAGGGGAGAAGGAAGTTGCTTTGAAAAGCAGAAATATGTTAGAAACATGCAGCACTACTCTCCATGGTGTAGTCCCATTTTATTCATTTTTTGTATTCCACACAAAATGAGATTTGTTTGGATAGTCAGGCATCTTTTAAAAAGAGTCAGAAATCTCTGGGCAAGTTAAAGTTTACATTTCTTTGTGAAATGTTCACAGATGTTAACATCTCATTCTGAAATAATCGGATTTCTTCCCTCCTGATGTACAGCTGAGATCAGCTGCTTGAGGTAGTTTTGGCAGGGAGAAGGAATAGTTACCTCTGAAACGTTTAGAGGTGGCGCTTTAGTGAGGTGCTGGCGTTTGGAGTGGGTAAGATGAGAGGGCCCGGGTCACTTGGGGAGGAGAGGACTAGGAAATGAAGGGGTGCGTGGGGGAAGGCGGGAGGAAGAGAAACACAGACCTGGACTATAGAGAGGCTTTATCCAGAGCTGGCTGTGCTCCTTTCCCACTATTACAGGAATTCATAGCTTTATCCCGCTGATATCTGAGTGCCTGCTGATGTCCAAGGCGCAGTGCTAGATCCAGGCGAAAACATGAATAGTTCAGGTATATTGTGGGTTAAATGGGCTATCTCAGGATAGCCTGAGATCCTAAATATAACGTCATGATTTCTAAGGAAAAGTGTGTTTATACTACTTTACAAATGAACTTTGGAAACACAAATAATTTATAAATTGGGGTTGTCTGTTCTACTCCAGTTTCAGTATTTCCAAAATGAAGTGAGTAATTCTGGATAGGCTGCACATCTTGGCCTAGGGTTTAATTTCTTGCTTGGATTGTAAATCTAAGAGTTTACAACAGCATTGAGATTTGGTTAGTGATAGGAAGTAAGGGCCTCTCACAGTCTGAAGATCTAAAATAAATAGAGGAAAAAGAAGTTAGGGAGAGAGAATTAACTTCTTTGAATGCTTGTTCTATGCTAGGCACTGTGCTGAGGTCCCTTACCTATGCTCACACTTAAGGCAGCGCTACCTGCTCAGTACCCATAAAGAAGCACTGAGTCTTCCAGATGAGTAAGTGTTTGCTGCTTGGTCATCAAAATGGGGCCACCTGAGGAGGCAGGAATCCAGACCTTGAAATGACATGAAGTGTTCTTGACGGGGGAGAATATTTAAAAATGTAAGAATTCTTATTACTAGAGTAGCGTTATGGATTCAGTAGTATGAATTCCTGTAGTAGAGAGCACTTTTGCTACCAGGAAATAATTTATGTTGATTGTTGGATAAGTGATGTTAACTACAGAGGAGTGGAATTATAAACCAAAAAACAACTGTATTGGAATCGAATGAAAATTGGACCAGCCAACTCTGTAAACCCGGGGAACACTAATAGGAAGGGGTGTCTGTCGATGGTATGGCAGTGTATTTGATTGTAGCTAGTTAGACAGTATGGCAAATGGGAAAGCAGCTACGGTGCAAAGCAAAGCTCAGGATGTCTTTGCCCGTCTCTGTGTAGCTGTGATCTCCAGGAGTATGAAGCAAACCTTTTAAAGATGTCATGAACCCCCAGGATACAAAATATCTAACATGTTTTTTCCTATAGTGACTTCTAAATCCTTATACTAGAAGGTGGACGGGGGTGCAGCTACCATTCACACATTTCATTTTTTAAGTATTAACAGCAAAGATCTTACCATCAGACATGCATCA